ATATAAATTTATATATATATATATTTTATAAGCTTTCTATAAATTTAGCGCATTGTTACGGAAAGTAATTTTGTTACAGAACGGTAATCTCTACAAAAATTAGCTTTTATTTAAAAGCTAAAAGCTTTTTTATATTAAAAATAATTTTATAAAAAACTATATTATGTACATATTTTGGTGCATATATCATACATCCAGGCTCATATTTTTCATATTTATCCTACTACGTTATAAAGTATACTATCAAAATAATTGCATAAAAAATATTGTAGATGATAAATGTAAGATGTCATTTGTATCAATTACATTGATCATTAAAATGCGCATATGTCATATTTTGTATTAATAGAATATAGTTGTAGAAAAAATTTAGAATAACAAATTAATATAAGAGCAATTTTTTATGTGTAAAAAGCCAATTTATAAAAATAGGAATCTTTAATCAAATCAAACAAAACTTTGTTTCTCTCTGTCATATGTAACAAAGCGTTGTCTTTCTACCGCTATATTACGATTTAATTGTGACAATACTTGTTTACAATTTCTATCTTTTGTATTCGTTTTTGTTTATACTTTTTTATATTAATAATAATAACAAAGAAAAATTTGCCGTTTTAACTTTTCTACAATTTTGGCAAGAAAAGTAAAATATTTTTTATAGCACGGTAGAAACCAAACTAGTTAGCAACCGTAAACTAAACGTGTATTATTACGCAGAAAATTGCTATCGCCCAACTTTCTCTCATACAAATTCCACTGCACAGAGTTTACATATCATGCGTGCAGGAGTAGAAGTCAAATCACCAGACACGAGAACGTTTTGGAATTTTCCAACAAAATTAGATTTTCATCAATTGTATAACAATAAACTTCTGAAAAAAAAAATCTTAATTGTTGATTAGGAAGAGTTTTGCTCCGCGCCATCTCTCTCTTTTTTCTCTCTTTTTTATATTTTGTTAAAAATTTTTCTTTCCTAATTTTTATGGTAATCGAAAAGATTATTTCGTAGCACGTATCTGAACAAAAGTTATATGAGTTCTCGCTTTTTGATAGGACATGGTATGAAAATTTTTGGTGTTACTTAGGCAACATGAAATTATTCCAATTCTAGAATAATACATATTATTTATAGTTCTAGAATATATTATTATATTTCTAGAATACATAAATTAAAGCCTCTATCTCTTTTTTTTTTTTTTTTTGCTAATTTAGATCTTATCAATATCAATATTTCTTTCCAAATACACGTTAAAATTATTATGATAAAATCTACTATATCTATATCTACAATCTATATCTATATTTATATAGCTGTCTCGAAATTTTCAAATTCTCTATATCTGCAACAATTGGAAATTATACTATTGGCAACAGTCATACCACGTTGTAAAGCACCAGTTCTCGTCCACATTCTTACAAACAGGTTTTTTAAACTCAGTTTTCCTGTGAAATAGCAAAATATGAAACAGATAAAACGCACCTTGTAATTATATAAAGAAAAACGTAGGCGTACATCTAATTGTAAGAAATAATACATAACTGAAGGTTGAGCCTTTGAGGCAGGGATTTCAATTAAATAGTACAATAATCTGTCATATAATTTAAATAAGACCCTTATTTTGTTATATGTATATAAACAATGTAAATAAAGCTCAATTAAAAGTAAAAAGTTCTCGTCCGATCACTGAAGTTAAGCAACGTTGGGCATGGTTAGTACTTAGATGGGTGACCGCTTGGGAACACCATGTACCGTTGGCACTATTTTTTTTTTGCTGATTTAAATCTTATCATTATTAATTCTTTTTTAAATACATGTTTAAATTATCGTGATAATAAATATTTATTTTATTTATTAGTTGTTTAGAAATTCTCAAATCAAGCAGCGCGGTAGCGTCGTTGATGCCAAGTATATAAAAATACATTTCTAGCTTGACAACAATTTTGACTACATTTACACGTCACCCCTAATAGGGTTTAATAACATCTGTAGTTCTAAAGCCTATCGCACAATGCTAGGCGATAGCGATAGCGATAGGCGATATCCAATGAGAGCACTGTTTTTTCGAAAAAGCAGAGCTCTCATTGGATATCACCCATCGCTCATCGCCCATCGCGTCTAGTCACTAGACTCTAGTGTGCGAGGGCCATGCCATAACAGCGTTCACCGCTCACCGATAGTACGAATCAGTTTTAATTTTATCCTCATTAAGCGTATATAATACAGTGAGATTTAAAATATTGAATCAAGATATATCGAGAACTGCTATCAATAGAAGTTTAATCGCTATTAAAGAGTATATGTTTATTTGATTAGAACACTGGATAATTGTTTCTACATGAGCCTTCATCCAAAGGAGTAGTATGTATGCGATCAAGACTCCGCATCGTATAATTTGATCGAAATAACTTTTCAGTTACATTCACATTATTTATATTATATACGGAAAATATACGTCCTCGTCCAACAACTCTTTATTTTATTGAAAATGAGTTTCTTATATATCCGGAAATTATATATTGGTAGACAAAACCAATAACTAATAATCTACAATTTGATAATAGATAAATTCTGTGCAAAAACTAGTTTTTATTAATTATAATATATCTTTCTTTTTTTACAAAATTTTCTATATACATTAACATTTTGTGTATTAATTTTACTCTGAACAATATAATTTTATTGTTTTATAATAATATCTCTGTACATTTAGGATTGGTGGTGAATCTCTGCATCATCATATGTGTAGCAACCTGAGGAATCTTTATACGTATACACGCCCCAGCCATTTTGGTACCCCAATATCTTTCTCCAGGTGGTGAATTGCCCATTCCACTGTCTATGAAGGTAATCTTTCTCAGGCCACGTCCATAGTTTGTAAATATACGCGATATCTATCCACATATGAACAGCATATAAAAATAACAAAAATTAAAAACATTTTTTAAACTTGTTAAGTGAACCTAAAACTTATTTCATGGATACTCACATATTGCCATTTGTTCTGTCTCTCCCCTTTTATAGCATCGCTAAATCGAAACAGGTCTAAAACTTTCACCGCGTTATCCTTTTCCTCAACTCCTAACAATTCAATCAGGCATTCATATATTGCTGAGTAGCCATTTTGACAGCTATACCATTCACTAATCTACAATATATAAGATATAATTTCTATATATTTTTTTCTCAGAATTTTATAGAGCATTTTGAATTAAATAACTCGTCACACTTAGCAATGGTGATACCACTATAGGAGGCTGCAAAACATCTAGGATATGCGGATGGAATCCCTCGGCCACTAGATCAACCACCTGTTTTTTGAAACCAAACCCCCCAACTATCTCTCGATACGAGAAGTTGTAAAAAGCCATCGCAAAACAGTACTGTTTTCCTTCAAATATCGGTTCGGTCAACGGTAATTCCGGTACGCCGATGGGCGGATTCTCGACTGTCCAACGACTGCTGCCGTCGCTGAGAATATTCCAATTATTATCGAGCTCCTCGCCGGAATGATTCTTCAACAGGTTCCTTTCGAATGGTGGTTTTGTTTTGCATATGAAATAGAACACATGCCAAGGTATCTTCTCATAGCGGGGGAATGGTTTACCCAGTGCTAACCCCGCCTTCTTCCACCAGACGTAATTCTGTATCACCGTCCTCCAATATTTGCATACCAATTGACAATTCAATAGAGTCCCATGATCGGCGTTGCAGAAGATTTCCGTTAGTAATTCGGTCGATACGTTTCTATTACAAATCGTCAATCCATTGTAATCTTCATCGGATATCACGCGAGAAGAAGTGTTTGCGGTTGTACTATGATCTTGTGCCATATTATCAACGAATGATTCAATTGTTACAATACATTACATTTGATCTTACAACATTATATGAATGTCGGCGATGTTGTTTTAACATTAAGTTCATGTTAGGACATTTTAGAGGAGATGTATACTTTTATGTTTGTTTTGTATTGTTTTAACAGAAATGTTTTTGGTAAAGTAGAATATAAATTTGTTTGTGTATGATATGTAAATTTCTCTCTCTATTCAGAGAAATTTGCTTTATATATATATATATATATATTTGTTTTAAATTTGTTTGTGTATGATATGTAAATTTTGTTTTGTATAGAAATGTTTTTGGTAAAGTAGAATATAAATTTGTTTGTGTATGATATGTAAATTTCTCTCTCTATTCAGAGAAATTTGCGAAATTTGCTCAAACAAATTTATATTCTACTTTACCAAAAACATTTCTGTTAAAACAATACAAAACAAACATAAAAGTATACATCTCCTCTAAAATGTCCTAACATGAACTTAATGTTAAAACAACATCGCCGACATTCATATAATGTTGTAAGATCAAATGTAATGTATTGTAACAATTGAATCATTCGTTGATAATATGGCACAAGATCATAGTACAACCGCAAACACTTCTTCTCGCGTGATATCCGATGAAGATTACAATGGATTGACGATTTGTAATAGAAACGTATCGACCGAATTACTAACGGAAATCTTCTGCAACGCCGATCATGGGACTCTATTGAATTGTCAATTGGTATGCAAATATTGGAGGACGGTGATACAGAATTACGTCTGGTGGAAGAAGGCGGGGTTAGCACTGGGTAAACCATTCCCCCGCTATGAGAAGATACCTTGGCATGTGTTCTATTTCATATGCAAAACAAAACCACCATTCGAAAGGAACCTGTTGAAGAATCATTCCGGCGAGGAGCTCGATAATAATTGGAATATTCTCAGCGACGGCAGCAGTCGTTGGACAGTCGAGAATCCGCCCATCGGCGTACCGGAATTACCGTTGACCGAACCGATATTTGAAGGAAAACAGTACTGTTTTGCGATGGCTTTTTACAACTTCTCGTATCGAGAGATAGTTGGGGGGTTTGGTCTCAAAAAACAGGTGGTTGATCTAGTGGCCGAGGGATTCCATCCGCATATCCTAGATGTTTTGCAGCCTCCTATAGTGGTATCACCATTGCTAAGTGTGACGAGTTATTTAATTCAAAATGCTCTATAAAATTCTGAGAAAAAAATATATAGAAATTATATCTTATATATTGTAGATTAGTGAATGGTATAGCTGTCAAAATGGCTACTCAGCAATATATGAATGCCTGATTGAATTGTTAGGAGTTGAGGAAAAGGATAACGCGGTGAAAGTTTTAGACCTGTTTCGATTTAGCGATGCTATAAAAGGGGAGAGACAGAACAAATGGCAATATGTGAGTATCCATGAAATAAGTTTTAGGTTCACTTAACAAGTTTAAAAAATGTTTTTAATTTTTGTTATTTTTATATGCTGTTCATATGTGGATAGATATCGCGTATATTTACAAACTATGGACGTGGCCTGAGAAAGATTACCTTCATAGACAGTGGAATGGGCAATTCACCACCTGGAGAAAGATATTGGGGTACCAAAATGGCTGGGGCGTGTATACGTATAAAGATTCCTCAGGTTGCTACACATATGATGATGCAGAGATTCACCACCAATCCTAAATGTACAGAGATATTATTATAAAACAATAAAATTATATTGTTCAGAGTAAAATTAATACACAAAATGTTAATGTATATAGAAAATTTTGTAAAAAAAGAAAGATATATTATAATTAATAAAAACTAGTTTTTGCACAGAATTTATCTATTATCAAATTGTAGATTATTAGTTATTGGTTTTGTCTACCAATATATAATTTCCGGATATATAAGAAACTTATTTTCAATAAAATAAAGAGTTGTTGGACGAGGACGTATATTTTCCGTATATAATATAAATAATGTGAATGTAACTGAAAAGTTATTTCGATCAAATTATACGATGCGGAGTCTTGATCGCATACATACTACTCCTTTGGATGAAGGCTCATGTAGAAACAATTATCCAGTGTTCTAATCAAATAAACATATACTCTTTAATAGCGATTAAACTTCTATTGATAGCAGTTCTCGATATATCTTGATTCAATATTTTAAATCTCACTGTATTATATACGCTTAATGAGGATAAAATTAAAACTGATTCGTACTATCGGTGAGCGGTGAACGCTGTTATGGCATGGCCCTCGCACACTAGAGTCTAGTGACTAGACGCGATGGGCGATGAGCGATGGGTGATATCCAATGAGAGCTCTGCTTTTTCGAAAAAACAGTGCTCTCATTGGATATCGCCTATCGCTATCGCTATCGCCTAGCATTGTGCGATAGGCTTTAGAACTACAGTATATATATATATATTCATAAGTTTAATATTCTTTGTACAAAACATAACATTAAACATTCTTAATTTTTAAACAAAAAAACTACATTTAAAATTCTTACATTTAATAATATTCTCTTGTTATTATTACTCTCAAATATATACACAAAACAAAACACAGGGAAACACTAAAATTATAAAATTGTATTACTTTTTTATTTTCCATAGAATAATTGATTTAATGTCATAATACAAAATATTATTCATAGTAATCGCAAGAAATAAGTTCGCAGTTTTCACACACTGAATAGAAGTGGCATACTTTTTCTGTGTTGAATTTATTCGAGTAATGGAAATTTGATTTTAGAATCATGAAATCATTTCATGTAAAGTCTGTGGCAATTTGTACACTTCGCAACTTCCATCTTCATTATTTGTATGGAATGAAAGTTTGCATACAATCATTGTCTTTTCTTATATATTTCCCAGCGCGTGTGGTTTAACACACAGGTGCCTCCTGTAAACACAGTTGTTAAACTGATAAACAAGCTCCGACAGATTCGAAATTATATTCTTTTGGTCCGCGTGAAGGTCAATTAGTTTTTATATTTAGGGCTCTCTCTATAATTTTTAGATAAACATATTGGACGGATATATTCAAATATACTAACCATCGTATTAATAATGATAGGCCGAAATTTATCGGTACTTCTTACGTTGCGAAAACTCACTACCGATTTATTTTGTTTGGCTAAAAACTTACATTTTTCCTGTCGCCAATATTTGCATAATAATTCCTTATCGTAGGTATTCAATAAATGTATGTTGATTTAGTTTCTTTTTCATATTTTTGTTTTTAACCTATTTTTTGTTTTCTTTCAGTATGGCTTCGGTAAAACTAATAGCTTATACTTCGTACGAATCAGTAAAGAAAAATGAGCGGAATCAAAATGCAGAGCAACCCATTATAATAATGCACTGTCTCTTTGGCTCGAAAAGCAATTGGAATGCACTACCAAAAACAATTCATCAAAAAACCAAGCGCAAGGTAGTTCACTCCAATAATTTATAAATTAACATTAATAAATCTTAAAATCTCAGATTAAAATCTTTTGATATTTTACTTGAGAATGTAATGTATTTTTTATATTGTTAGTTAAATCTGCAAAAAATATATTTTTGTATTGTATTTAAGAAAATTATTGCACAACAGGTCATAGTGGTAGATGCCAGAAATCATGGTGATTCTCCGCATACATCAAACATGTCATACGAGGATATAGCAGAAGATGTGATATAGCTTTTGAATGACCTACGTTTTAAGAGACCTGTTCTAGTTGGCCACAGTATGGGTGCCTTGGCCATGATGTATACTGCAAATCTTCCACAACACGTCGAGAAATTAGCAGTTGTTGATATGTCTCTCTCTCTCTCCCATAAAAAGTTCCATTTCTACTCTCGTGCTGATAAAAAAAATCTTTGAAGTAATGAGTTTAGCAACAGCAAATGGAAGTCCTACCTTATCAGAAGCACGTAAAATAATAGACCAACAGCTTGAAAAGTCTATTAAATCTAAGACAATGTGTCAGGTAATACCTTTCTGCTTTTTGTTTTATGCTTAAAATGGGAAAGCTATATCTATAGTATATTTCTCTGCAGTTCCTAATAGCAAACTTGGTAGAAGTGGGTTTGGGAAAGTACAAATGGCAAGTGAATTTACCAATATTGGAGCAAACATTCCTAACTCATATAGCTGTATTTCCCAAGGTAGATTCAAAAATCTATGCGAAACCGACATTATTCATAGGCGGTGCTAAAAGTGGATATATTCAGGTAGAAGATCACGACCCGATTAAGAAATTATTCCCCTTGGCGGAATTTCATTACATAGATGGAGCAAATCATTGGGTTCACGTAGACAAACCTATCGAATTTGTCGATCTTTTAACAAATTTTATAAACCATTCAGTCTTGTGAAGCTCGTAAATATATAAAAAAAAACAATCGTAAATTGTTCTTTGTAAATATATACATGTATTTCAGATGAATTTCACAACATTGCAGAACAATGTGAAAAATATTCAAACAATATGTAGTGTAAAAGTGAAAGAAACTGCACATTATGCAGTTGATTGTGATCAAAAGCGCCATTAAGCGTCGAAAAGCTCCGTCCTCATCATTGTCTTTCAGTTTTTTCGCTATCGCATGTATTATTATTGTGAGATCTGTATAGGCTTTATTTAAAAAATTAGAGAACGGAATTAATGGAATCAAATATGGTTCCATTCAAAGGCCATATACTATGTGTTATATGTACTTGAGTAATGATATTCGTTAGTAATATCTCGCGCATAAGAAGAAATACTAGTAAAATATCCTATAAAACTAAGTACTTTACCTCAATAATAATTTATAAATAAATATTTTGCTAAAAAAAATAGGAACTATAATATTTTTCAACAAATTAAATGTAGCTTTAGATTAAAGCATTTCTATTGCAACAACATTCGCGTGTTCAGACTTAATTGCGACCAATCCGCGAAATTCTAAGCTCGTTTTCGTGCCGAAAGTGACGTAATATCAAACACTAGCCCAAATGTGCAGTCTTGATCGTCATTGTCTCGCTGTAACATGTGTGAATATATATATATATATATATCACTTGCAATAATATTAATCAACAAATCGCGCACACTACAATACGTCATGCGTGTGTCCACCATTGTACGCATAGTCGGCCTTATTGTGCATCACAAGCTGATTGTCGACGAAATAAAATGAGTCGGATCGCGTTTCAAATGGATTCGCAATCATTTCAGAAACTGGAAAGATATATATATTGTTTATGTCAAACATAGGATTCTTTGCTTGTACAGGTTTAAGTAAATCATTGATGATTTATTGGAAACATTTTAAGCAACTCACCTAGATCTGCAGGCAATGTTGGAAACTCGTAAATGTGTTCGCATGTATTTTTGCTGTTTGGTATGCAAAATCCAAATTGGAAATCAAAGGTTTTTAGCAATCTGTCTCGGAAAAAGTGTCGTTCTATCATTCGGAAATTATTGATCGGCTTAGGCCCTACGAGAAACTCGATTGTCGCTCCAACCGTCTTTAATTTGAGGAACTGTGGTGTGAATTGATATCGTACAAAGCGTCCCGTATTTGCATCCTCAGATCCGAGTTCTTCGCAATCTGGTTCTGGCTCTTGATGGACATCGCATTCTGATACATATAAAAAATTAAAAATGATTATTATATGTAATTAACATTTCAGTTTTGGTTTGTAATCATAATCGAGATTGTATAATCTTTATTCCCTGCATTATATATTTTAGTTTATTAACTGTATGTGTTGTATAAATAATTTTGAAGAATCTTTATATATTTAATTGATAGTTACAATCATAATATTATAGTCTTATCAAGTAATATTTAAGTTTTAAAGAAAATAATATTAAATTATGTTATAAATTTATTTAAAGCATTATATAATTATATTTATTATATTGTATAAATATATAATTAACATAAATTAATATAAATTAATTATAAACTAGATATCTAAACTACATATTACGTACCGCTAGCAGGAGGCTTTGTTATCTCAAACAATATAGCGCCAGTTTCTAAATCTCTAATCTGAAATCTTGTAAAGTCTATATCGTAGACATTGGCCTCTGGAGAGCAGAGATACTCTGGAAACAGTTATTATCCATATGAGACAATAATTCATCATACATATGTATATAAGAGATTTGCGGGTGCAAGTAACAATATTTAAACAACAAACAAATCGGTCATACTATCTGTAATAGTAGGTAATCGTAGCACCATTTCTGGAGTCACCGGGCCACCTTCGACACTTCCATCGACAGCGTTCTTCGGATCGACCGTTGACGAAGTGTACGACGCAATCGCCTCGTTCGACTTGTTTTCGCTATCCACGCTCATAATTTATTCACGGGATCGAATACATATATTTAAAGGAATCAAGTCTGACATTCGATTAAAACGACGACAAGAACGATAATCGCGATTGTTATGATTGTTAGCAATGTCAATCGGCGTTGTCGATGGACGTCGTGATTTTATAACACGTTTATCGAGTCGTCGCCAGCGCGTTTGTCACGACAATCACTATACGATTTATCATTTTATATGTAAATCAGCCGTCATTGTAACATGTCATTTGTGATAGTTTGTGTTTCGCGTTTCCAAGTTGTAAACATCCTGTGAAAAGAAAATTTATAGAAGCGCGTTTCGACTGGAAAATAATGCCGTCAACAATTTATATATCCGATAAATGGGTGGGGTTCGCTTGGACACGTCACCAATTGGCCAATTCAAAATAAGACACTTTGATTGATCAATCGTTGCTGGTTACCCTAGACATCGGTTGATATGAATGGTTGTGGCAGAAAGAATCAAGGGAGAGTGGAGCGGATTCACCGGAAGTCCGCCATTTTTAGATAATATTTTGGTAAGTGTGGGGTATCTATGACACACACACACACTCACAATTTCATCACCAATTTCAACATATGTATGTGGATATATATACATATGATAGCGTTTTTGAATGTAGCAGGGTATCGATCATGTAACTTTTCCCCTAGGGCGGAAAAGTGAAAAGTGAAAAATTTTGCCATTCATTTCAATGCTAATATTTTTCACTTTTCACGTTTCCGCCTAGGAAAAAAGTTACATGATCGGTATCCTGGTTTAATCCACTGATCTATATATCTGGATTGCTGATAGGCCTCATGAGTATCGATCATGTAACTTTTCCCTTAGGGTATAAAAGTGAAAAGTGAAAAATTTTGCCATTGATTTCAATGCTAATATTTTTCATTTTTCACGTTTCCGCTCTAGGGAAAAAGTTACATGATCGGTATCCTGGCGATGTACCCAATTGAAGGTCCGCCATTTTACACGCCCGAGGTGCGCGCATGCGTGGTGGTGCTCTAAGACCGATATTCATAGTCCGTTCTTATATTCAAAATCGTCTTAAGTGTAGTCTTGGGTCGTTTTAAGATTTCATTCAACCAATGAAATGGCCGCTTAGCATCTTAAGACCGTACTTAAGACGATCTTGAATATAAGAACGGACTATGAATACCGGCCTAAAGCCTTGTGTCCACGATGCTAGAATCTAGAACTCAATCCGAATTCTCGGACCGAGAAATGTGTAGCCAATCAATTTGCAGCTTTTACGGAAAAACGGCAATTTTATTGGCTACACGTTTCTCGGACCGAGATCTCGGACCGAGTTCTAGCATCGTGGACACAAGGCTTTAGGCCGGTATTCATAGTCCGTTCTTATATTCAAGATCGTCTTAAGTACGGTCTTAAGATGCTAAGCGGCCATTTCATTGGTTGAATGAAATCTTAAAACGACAATAATCCAAAATCATGACAAGTTGATTGTATTATCGCAATTGAAACATATGATAGGAATTTTTATTGAATGAATAAAGAATTATTGTCTTTATTGTCTTAAAATCTTGTAATATTTTGGTCTATTTTATGATCTGTTTCATCGTTTAATCCTGATTTTTTAAATTAATAACAGCAAAAATGTTACGTAAACGTAAGTTTCAGTTACAGTCTTACATAGACCGTGATTTTAGTCAAACTCATTTGAATTTCCCACGCTCGGAGGCAAATTACCGGGTAAGATGGCGGCGTCCATTTGGGGACGCTTTTGAGTTCTAATAACAAAGGCGATCGGCCAGTT